TTATAATTAAAGGGAAAAAAACACCAACCAATGTAATTACTAAATGACATGCATACAACTCAAATTATCTGTTGAAATTTTGTATATTAAATTTTGAGGATTTCAATTTTCTTTTTTATTTTATTATTATTTTTTTAATTTTCCTTCACTAAAATTAATTTTTTAAAATTTTAAAATTGCATTTTGATATTGATTGGGTGAATCTATAATTTTTATTTTTGAAATAGCACTTAAAAAATAAACCCAAAAATTTAAAACAAAAAAAAATTACATTTTTGCTATCCTAATTACTTGAAATAATTACGTCAATTAGGAAAATTATTAATATTTTTTTTTATCAGATTTACAATCTTAATTTAAGAGGTCTATGTTTTATAAATTATTTTATATTACATAAATAAAATAAAAGTACTATTTTTTATTTTTTTAAATGAGATTTTTAGATTACTATAAATTTTGAAATTAAATTGTAATATAACAATAATTTGTGGACTAAACTTAAAATTAAATAAATAAATAAAGCAAAAAGCAGCTGTATCTTTCCCTCCCAATCCACCCTCTCCGTGCTCCATCCAACTCACTTACTCTGTCCCTCTTTTTCTCTCTCTTTTTTCTCTTTGGATTTTTGTTTTATGGCAAAATTATTCCTTTGCTTTATTTCTAAAATCCCTAATGAACCTGTTCCTCACGAGAACAACGAATCAGAGGATTCTCCCAGTAGCTGCAATTTTAATCACCGACTCAGGTACAAACTCAATCTCAGTCGATTTTTTTGTCGATTAATTTCGAGTTTTTTGTCTTAAGAATGGATGAGACCGATTACATGAAACGTAAATTTTTGTTCCAATAGGCGAGTTTTTTTTGTTTAGTATATGTACTTTATTCCAGAATTCGAGGTAATGTAGTTTCTTTTTATTTCGGTGCTGCTTTCATTAAAATTTTTTTGTTGTTATCTTTTTCATGAAGGTTTCTATATGAGGTTATGATTTTAGGATTCATAGCATTCATCGTTGACTTTTGCTCTGATGCAGCTTTTTAAAAGAAAATTTTGGTTGTCTTGTTTCAGTTTATTCATATTCTGCAGAAGGAAAACCAAAGATATTGATAGGGTTTGGAACAAATGAACAATGAAGTTCTATTTCATTGGGAAGTGGACTTGATAAGGAATTCATCTATCTATTTGCAAATTAAATTTGATAATCGAAATAAATCATGATATCTTAAAATGTTTTGCTTAATTCAGTTGAACCACCATATTAAGAGCAACATATAGTTGGAAAACTTTGTTTTAGATAAATGTGCTGCCAATTCCATAGTTTGGAGTAGTTCTAAATATACAAGTTTGGAGTTTGTTAATTAAATTCAACAGTTTCTGTTGATTTCGTTTGTCCCAACTTGGTATAAAAGATTTTGGCATAATTTTAATTTTTTCAAGGCAATATTAGATTTACTTATTTTGCGCGCTTATGTGCATTACTCTCTAAGTTTTTTGCCACTTTATTTTAGGGAGGAAACAACGAGATGGATGAAATTGCTCCACCACGTAGTTCTAAAACTCGAAAAGTTTTTGAAGAACATAATATGGAACATTGCAAAGACAGGATAAGTAATTTACCTGATAACATTCTTCTCCACATTCTTTCATTTATTTCGACCAAGGAAGCCATAAGAACTTCCATTTTGTCAACAAGATGGAAGTACTTGTGGATTTTCTTGCCAATTATTGACCTGTATGATGGCTTGAAGAATTCTGTGTTGGCAAATGGTCGGAATTTGGAACTGGAGGATAGCTTTGTGATGTTGGTGTCCGAAGCACTTTTCAGTCGTGACATGTCATGTCTCAGGAAATTGTCTCTTGTGCTAAGCATGGATGTCAATGTGTTTCTGGTGAAACGTTGGATTGCTGCTGCAGTAGATCATCAAGTTGAAGTGCTTTTTCTTGCCCACCTCCAACGAGGACGGGACTATGTATTGCCTCCTAGTCTTTTTACTTCTACATCACTATGCACTCTGAAATTAGATATTCATTGTGCCATAAAGGCTCCACGATATGTCAATTTCTCAAGTCTTCAAATCATGCATCTTCAAAAGTTAGATTTCAGGATGATGAGTCAACCCGCAATCTGTTTTCTGGGTGTCCAATGCTCCAGGAGGTGATTTTCTTTGATTGTGATTGGAGAAATATAAGTAGCATCACCTTTTCAATTCCTACTCTAAAGACATTTATTTTTCATAATGGGAATTCACACTCAGAGGGTACACTACATTGTAAATTTATGATTTATGCAGAGAATCTTGAATCTTTTAGCTGGTTAAGTTTTCTGGCAGTTGATGTTATCCTGATCTCATCGCGAGTGTTCAAATCACAACTTGATATGTTTAGCATGGATGGGGATGATGAAACTGTTAGCTGTGCATTTAAAGTGCTTAGTATGATTCACAATGTCAAATTTCTTCTAGTATCGAGCGAAACCCTTAAGGTATGCCCGTTTCCTATTTTCTCTCGTGTTTCTTGGTTTATTTTGTCACATATTTTAAAATATTAACAACGATTTATATTCTGTTTTGTCCAAAGTCTCTCTTCCTTGCAGAGAACCTCAATACTCTTCCTACATTTACTAATTTGACTCATTTGAGGGTGGATTCATATTTTGCCGAGTATGCAGAATCTGTTGGTATGGAGCTGATATACTTTCTTCAAAAATTGCCAAACCTACAATCTCTTCACATATCAGTGGTTGGTTCCTAGAAGCCCATTATTCACTCAGTTATTTATTGTTGCATATAAGGCATCTAATATATTAGGTTATAATTACAATACATCCAAATTTTCATGACTAGTATTATCTTTCAGGGAGTCAGCCAATTTGCACTTGAGATTGTACCTGAGTGCATCAAGTCTTCCCTCAGGGCAGTTAGCATCTTATGTTCTGCTGAGGATGAACAAGAAATTAAGTTTTTAAAATTCTTATTCAGTAACGCCATGGCCTTGGAGAAGGTAACCGTATTTCTTTCGGAAGACTTGTTAGCCAATCTGGGAAAGCAAGAGGAGATTCGCAAACAATTACAGATTCTTCGAGTAGGATTATCAGCTGTGAGGATCGGTTTTTCTTTGGATTTTCTTTAAAACTCCACATTTTTACAATAATTATTAGGTGTGTTTAGAATAAACTCAGAAATTCATGTTTAATTCAGTTTAGGCAATGATTTAAGTTATATTAGAAATGATGAAAGTTAAGTTCATATGAAATTCATATTAAAGTCATGAATTCGAGTAGAATTGTACCTTCACGTGTGTCATTATTTGGAGGTTATTATTTTATTTGTGTATGTTTATCATATAATGATGAATTTATAAATTTTTATTAAAAGAATAAAATAGCAAAATTAAATTTATGGCAAATATTTAATAAAATACATTAAATAGCATATTAAATATTTTAAAATGATAAAAATCAACACTTTTCAATGGGCCGAATATTCCCAAATCCATGTTTAACGCACAGCAGACTTCCGAGCTTAACCGAGACTTGGGGTTGGTGACATGCCTCCAAAGTTTAAATTCGTCTTGTTCCTCTTGACGTTTTATTTCCCTCTTCATTTCTCTCGAGCGCGCGCGCGCGTTAGGGCAAGATAATCCCAATCGTAATCTCTGAGATCGCAATGAAATTAGTCGATCGCTCTTAGAGCAGAATTCACAGATTTATCTTGCCTACAGCTGCAATTTTATCCGATTGGCTCAGGTATAGACTTCAATCTCAATCAGATTATCCGATTAACTAGTTTCAAATTCTTATTCTATGAAGTGGACGATATTGATTCCAGGAAGTAAGTTTTGTTCCTAAAATCTATAATGTTGTGAAGCAGGTGCGTATATAGTGCACCTTTGGTAAAGAGTGTTCGTTTAATTATACTCCATTGGCAAATTTTATCTTGTTGGTGTATTTGCCAGCTTTGTTGGAATTCGGTGGTTGCTGCATTACTGCTGAATGTTTTCACGCAAGTTTATTTGATTTTAGGGGTTGAGAATTTTATTTTCTGCTCGTTCTCGCAAAAATCATGTTAATGAGGACTGTACTAACTTGTTGCTTATAGAAAAAATTTGTCAATGATATTTGGGATTGCCGATATATATCTTTGCTCTGAAGTCCGAAGAATATTGTTTTTGTTTATAGTTAATTTTGGTAATTGTGTACGAATAGGGGAGATAATGCATTATTTTTCTTAGCTAATACTTTATACTTCTCTTTATGCATGTTAATGCAGATTAATGTTTCACGAAACGTATTTTGTGGGAGGGAAAACCACATACCAATGTAGTGTCTATCCCTATGTTTGGAACAAATGAGTATTAGATGAATTCTTTGTTAGAAGAAAGTTAAATGATTATATTTTAAAATACTTTGTGGAATTCAGTTGAATCTCAACATTTGGATAAGCACACAATCAAAACACATTTCCAGCTTTGTTTTTTCTCTGTAAATCCTCTTATCCATTTCCAAATAATGTACTTATTAGATCCATCACTTGGAATATTTCTAAATTCAAATTTTTGGATTTGTAAATGAAATGAACATGTTTTTTTGAAGTTCAATTGTTCAAAATGTTGTATGAAAGAATTGTTGTAAATTTAATTTTCCACATCAATGCTACATTGACTTCTTTCTGTCAGGGAGGGAATAGTAAGGATGGATGGAACTGAACTACCACCCAATCGCAAAGCTCAGAAGCTTTTTGAAGGAAATAATATGGAGCCTACCTATGACAGGATCAGTAATTTACCTGATAGCATTCTTCTTCACATTCTTTCATTTATGTCAACCAAGGAGGCCATAAGGACTTCCACTCTGTCAACAAGATGGAGAGACTTATGGGTTTTCCTGCCTATCATTGATATGGATGATGGCTTGAAGCCAGAGAGCGCTGAGGATTCTATGCTTGAAAAGCCTTGGGAAAGGAATTTCATGTCAAAATACAGCTTCGTGGTGCTAGTTTCAAAGGCACTTTTATATCGTGACGCTTTATGTCTGAGGAAATTCTGCCTTGGGCTAAATATGAGTGTCAGTTTACGTGTGTTTAAAGGTTGGATATCTGCTGCAATAGATCACAATGTTGAAGTGCTTGATCTTAACCTCCGTGAAAAAACAGAATATGTTTTTCCCTCTAGTTTTTTTATTTCTAAATCACTATGTACTCTGGCAATAACTATGTATCATACTCTCGTTGTTCCTTCGCGCATCTGTTTCTCAAGCCTTAAGAAATTGTATCTTTCAGGTGTTGAATTTCAGGATAATGAATCAACCGAACTATTTTTTTCTGGTTTTCCAGTCCTCCAACAGTTGGCTTTATATTGTTGTGATTGGGAAAATTTAACTACTGTCACCTTTAAAATTCCTACCCTGGAGTCATTTTATTTTCATGCTGAAACTACAGAGAATGATGTACTAGATTGTACAATCGAGCTTTATGCTGAGAATCTTAAATATCTGAAGTACACAGGTTATTTCATAGTTGAGCTTATCCTATGCAACATATCATCATTGGTCTATGCATCTATTTCTCTATACGATGCAGTTGAACTTGATTATCAGATGAAGACCGAGTTTGCAGCAGATTTACTTGATGCAATTGGCAGTGTTAAATTTCTTACAATATCAATTGAAACCCTTAAGGTATACTTGCTTCATCTTATCTCTACAGTTTCTTTTAGTCATTTGTTAGATATCCTGGAATACCAATGATGATTTGAAATTTGTTTTTGTGAAGTATCTGTTCCATGAAGATGATTTTGTGATTCTTCTACCTATATTTTATAATTTGATTCATTTGGAGATGGGTGTAAACCCTGTCGGAGAAGATGATTATTTTGCTGGTAAGGAGTTGACTTGCTTTCTCCAAAATACCCCAAACCTACTGTCTCTTGACATTCCAGTGGTAGGTTCCTAAAGCTGATTATTCATTTACTCTATTAGATTTGTAGCTTGTAAGGATCATGTCAACCTTGTTGTTTGGTGAGTAATCTTATTGTTTTCAGGGCATCAACGAATTTATTCTTGAGACAGTACCTGACTGTTTCAAGTCTTGCCTCAAGAGCGTGAGCATCTCAGTTTTTGAAGCGAATTTGCGAGAACTAGATTTTCTAAATCGATTGTTTGCTAGTGCAACTGCTTTGGAGAAGGTAACCATCCTTTTTTATTCTAAGACAATCTTTAATTTGGAGAAGCAAGAGAAAATCAAGCGAGACTTACAGATTCTTCGAAGAAAAATGGGACTGGAGATGGTGAAAGTGAGTTTTGAATATAAGTTTTAAAAAATCAAATATTTCTGTAAGTTTTTTCATTTGTGCATGGGATCAAGATGTAGATTCGGTATTGGTAAATATGGAGTACACCTGAAATATTTTAGCAGAACATTTTGTAAATATAGATTTAGATGGTGTTCTGTGATTTTTATTGTTTTGGTATATGGGTGATGAAATGGCTGGCTATTTGGGATGATAATGGTACTAACGCTTCCTATTTTGAAACTCATTGGTTTTAGGGCTCCTTGTAGAATAACTTGAAATTTGTTTGGAACTCATTTATAAGTTTATATTTATTTTACTTGGATGCTGATAAAAAAATATCTTTTAAATTTTGAATTGATTGGTCTAATTGGATGCTGAATATATATATACTGGAACTTTTTGTTAATAAGTTATGCATTATTATTATTAAACCGAGTGTGGATTTATAGATTGAATTTGAAATCATTTCGAAACTTGTTTTGAACATTGAATTTTGAGGTTTTTTAAATATAAGTTTCAATGTAACTTATTTCTGAATTTTGTAATTTAATAATAATTATACTAACAAACTTCATCAATATTTTTTTTTTGAAAAAAAAAAATGAGCATCTGTCTTTTACAAATTAGAACTAAAAGAAAATAATAATTTTACAAAAATTTTCGGGCTTTTATTTAGCCTGTACACACAGGATGCTTGACGACGTCGTTTCAGGAAGCAGGTGGTGCTGGGCTTGGATGCGTGCGGATGGACTGGTCTTGGGTTGGTTTCTTGGATTGGGGCTGGCTAGTGGGCTTAACCTTTTTCTTCCTCAAAATAAAAGTAAGACGAAACATAATAATAATAATACTTGTGATAGTGATAATAATTTTGCAATCATTGGTTATTCTATTATTATCTTATTATTTATTTAATTATTTTTTACGTTTTAGTTAGTAGAAATGTGGTATAACAATATAAAAGAAAAAAAAATTAAAATTCTTTTACCTCACTTTCTTTCTCTTTCTCAGTTTGTCAATCCATCCATTCTCTGTAACTTTAATTCTTCAGCATCTCATCTCAGCTTTCGTTCAAATTTTTCTTGATTCAATTCTAATTTGCTTGAGACTAAATGGAAAAAGTGTATTTTTAAAAAATTAAAATTTGGCTGCAAGTAAAATGATCCATTTAAATTTAGTTTTCTCTAATTTAATTTTCAGTAAGTGACGATTTGATTGTAATCAATTTAATGAATGAACAACAAGGTGATAAATTAATATTATATATGTAATATTGACATTAGTAAATTGTATAATAATATGTTTATATGATGATGTTTTATTTATCAACTTTTAGTATCCTTATATTATAACAATATTCTAACACATTTTGATAAAAAAAAATATCATTATTTTTTAATGTAATATAATTTAACTCAAATAAATAAAATAATCTCAAATAACATATACGAGACTTTGAAATAGTACTAAAAAAGTTATGAAAGTGTAGATTTAGTCTTAATACAATTTGATTTTTTGTATAATAATTTTAATGACCATGATTTGGTTATGTGGAATTTAATTATCCTTTGTTTTATAAATAATTTATATTATTGTTTAATTTTTAGAAAAATTAATTTGGTGTAAATATGTTTAAGTTTTTTAAAATAAGAAAATTATCGGAAAGTATAATTGATTAAATATAATACTCGGGCTCGAAATTAATTTTAATATCAAAAAATATATAAAAACTTATTTTTAAAATTAATAAATTTTAATTTAATATGAAATTATGAAAAAAAAAAATAAGTTGATAATGAAATTTAAAATAATTCTTAAAAAAATGGGTGAAATTTTGGGTTCGGGTAGTGTTTTCAAAAGAAAAATCGAAAACTGGGAGTCATAACGCAATTAAAAAAAATTGTATCACATAGGATTGCCCAGTTAGCAGCGCCGATGAACCAGAGCGCTCTGCGTGGCAAGGCACATTGACTCGGTGCCGCGAGAGAGGGGGGTCACGTTGGCGATCCGTGTGCCCCACGATTGGACAATCCGGAAGCGTTTCTGAGCACATAGATGGTCTAGATCCGTTCCCTCCTTAGGCTTGATTGGACGGTCATGATTAAATACGATAAACGGTTCAGATCCCTTCCCTCTTTAAACACGACCATCCGATCGAGATCAAATCGCGATGAACGGTTCAAATTTATTTTCTCTATAAATGCGATCAAACGGTCAAGATCAAACACGATGAACGGCTCAGATTAACGCAAGACAAGTATAAATATTTCGCATCACGCCAAACCAAAACCCTAGTCGTTAGCCTCCTGCTGGGGAAAAAGAATCACTCGTCGTAGAAGGGAGCTGATCGTCGCCCACCACCGCGCCGGAGCCACCTCCAATTACTAAAAAAAATAAAAAAATTTTCTACCTGCTCGGAATTTGATTGCGAGCACCCTCATCGCCAAATTGGAGTAAAAGAAATGACGAGTGAGCCAGAAACTGTGAACAAAGTTCGACGCCGCCGTCGTGGGCAAAACTTGCAATTATCTCCGATGAGTCCCTTCCCGTTTTTCGTTTCGTACGATTTTTTCACTATTGTACTCACCATTCTATTTTTTATAAGTTGATCGAAGAAAAACGTCTAGCTACAAAAGTGAGCCGGGGAAGTTGTTATACCGAAAAATCTCACTGTTGGTAGGTTTTCATTTTTGACCTTTTTTTTTGCCAATCGAGACCCTATAATGTGTTTTCTCGCAAAGATAGGTATAAAACCAGTCGAAACTGGCTAAAACGGGTCGAAAACGGCCAGGACGAGGCAAATCACTGTTGTGGGCTACGGTGCCATCGCTGGAGCACGGCGGTGCTGCTGTGCCAGAATCTCGAAATTGGCTGGAAAAGGGTTTTGAATACCGATTTTGGATTTTTAGAGTATTTTTATGTACGTGAAACATGTTTTAATCTTAGCAAAAAAGTTTAGGAAACCCGGAGACTGCTAGTAGATGCAGTAAAAAATTTGGTATTTCAAACACCGATTCGGGTAAGAATCTCTTACCTTATTATCTGTTATGGAATTGAAACTTAATAATCGGTAATATAGTATTTTGTGTAATTTAGAAAACCTTGAGAATAATTACAAGTTACCAATAAAGTCGAAATCGGTTAGTCATTTATTTGTTGTCCTGTCTAACTAATTGTTGAATTTACAACTTTAAATATATGATGATATACTGGAATGATTGAATGATTTAGTTGTACTTCTTTAATATATATTGCTTGTCGTGCGTGATTTATGGTTGATTTGTGAAATTGAAAATTAATATATAAATGGAAAATTATTTAGTTATGTGGATTAATGAATAGTAACCTTACTGAATATCATGAGAGATGGTAGACGGACCAGGTACATAAAAAATCCTATTGTGAACGTTGCCTCATACTGACAGAGTATCGAGGAATAGTAGTTTTGGCACTCGTACCGGACGGGCTATGGGGACTGTACACC